AATATAATTATTGAGTATAGTTAGTCATATGAAATGTACCAGTGAGTGGACTACTTCCATACTGATTGAAGTTGGGTCAGCCTCGGTGCTCCCATCCAGGTCTTCTAAGTATAGCCACATCTGATAACACACTTTGCACATCACAGACAACTCTGTCAAGACATGAAAATATTATTTAGTGGTAAGCTTATGAAGCAGCTTTCAATCATATTACTTTATTTTAATTAGAAAAATGTCATCTGATTAGAGGACTAGAACTGTTCTATCTAGTTTTTGAAGTTGTGAAAACAGTTGGTCAGTTGGTTTGTAAGGCTAATTAGTGCAGCAAGAAATATGGTTGGAATTCCCACAAATGAGTATACCTTCATAAGTTATGGTTTCATGGCTGCTACTGAATATCCTAAAATACATTTCTAGTTGTCCACTTGACGATGATCCTAACAGCAAATGAAATAAACAAAGTGATCCAAATGAATGATAATTGAAAGAATGAATGAATAACTGGAAGAAAAAAAAAAGATTGGAAAAGATGAATGTGTGAAATAATCCAGATGAAGGAAGGAATAGAAGAATGAACAATAAGTGAAAAAATGCGTAAATTGAAAAAATGGATGGATGTGTAAAATAGACGAATAGATAATTTAAGTATAGCAAAATGCTAACAAATACCAGCATCCAAAATGTGCTCCATCTGTTCAACAAAGTTTTTCTGGTCCAGGCCATTTTCACAGCCATTTCCAATCTTAGTGAGGTACTTATACAACAACTGGCCAAGTGTGGCGGAATCTTGAAGACTGAAGTATTTCTAAACAAAACCAAACACCATTTGAGTTGAATGAGATGAACAATAAATTATCAAAATACACGTTTTTAAAACACCTCAAAAAGGTCTTGTTTTATAGAGCTCCTTTCATGGGTTCCGTCAGCGAGTTGCTGGAGAAAATAAGATGAATGTTCATGYAAACTTGTGATTAGAAAAAATAATAAGAAAAAATTCAACCAGCGATCCAAAGACGTGGTATTACCTGAAAAAGTTCCGCTAGTCGAGTAAAATTTGGAGACTGTTGCTGTTTATGTGTCGAGGTGTTTCCCATAGTATTCAAGGATGTTCCATATCGTAAAGAAACTGAGCTTCAAATTATTTTTGAAAGAAGAAGTTTTTATATCATTACCACTCGTGATGGGTTCCCTGTGTTGCCGCCTGCATTTCAGAGGGTCAGCAAACTTACCCAAAACTCATGCTCAGCGAAAGAAATTTTAGTGTTAGTTTATTTGTAAATTTTGCTTATAACTTTGTTACAAATCTTGAAAATGCCGAAAGTACGACGAAGTAGAAAGCCTCCTCCAGAAGGATGGGAGCTTATTGAGCCAACWCTAGACGAACTTGATCAAAAAATGAGAGAAGGTTTGTCTGATTGTATGTCGTTCTTGGCATGAAAGAAGTGTTGTAAGCTTAATTTTTCTTCTTTTTCAATAGCTGAAACAGACCCACAYGAGGGGAAAAGAAAAGTAGAAGCATTGTGGCCAATATTCAGGTATTATATTCATATGAATGTTGTTGTTTACTTATTTTGAGTCAAAGAAACAAAAACTTCTCCRCTGTTTTCAGAATCCATCACCAAAAGTCAAGATATGTGTACGACTTGTATTATAAACGCAAAGCTATAAGTAAAGGTAACTTTGTGCAACTAACATTATTATGTCATGTCTTTAGGGGTTACAATTGTTAGTTTTTAATCACTTCCTTTAGATTCAAAAGAGAAAGACACTGTCAGCTATGTTGGCGGGATGATCAGAACATGAGAAATCTTTTATCATTGAATCACCAAATTGGTTACCAATAGATCAATAATTGATCTGTTGGTAACCAAGTTAAGGAACAGAAATTATGTGTAACCATTTCTTTTCACTCTCTCATCACTACCTTCACTACGAGATCATGTTTACAGATATAGTAAAGATTCAAATTCAGGATCAATGATAGGGCCARTCTGTCCAAAGCTTGATTAGTATTAATCCTGGGTAAACTAYCGAAAAARCTGTAAAGTTAGCCCTGGATTAATRCTTTGATCAATTGGGTTTAGATCTGAAGAYRATTGTTTCAAGAATTTCRGATTATTAGTGTTTACTACTTGGAMCTTTTCCTGGTTTGACTGCTCTTGAGAGTTGATTATAAATCATTCTGGAAGTTGATTGAAACTAGTGGTAAACAGATGTGAAATGAGAGAATTTCAACAATGTAAAAAAGTAGTGGAAATAACTGATGTTTTGGATGTTAATCCTGCAATTGATAAAGTGGGAAGTTGTGTTATATTAGCCATAAACTTTACAAATGTAAATCACTCCAACGTAACGATTTTCGTACGTACAGGCCAGGGATTACCAAGAATAGTGAAAACTAGTTTCGTTTATTAAAACCTCTTCAGTTCACTATATGTTTTACAACAGTTGTGTTATATTAATGTTTGATGTTTACAGAGCTGTATGAATTCTGCTTAAAAGAAGGTCATGCTGACAAGAACCTTATAGCAAAATGGAAAAAGCAAGGATATGAAAATCTATGTTGTTTACGGTGTATTCAGACACGAGATACCAACTTTGGCTCCAACTGTATTTGTAGAGTACCGAAAAGTAAATTGGAAGAGGTAATTATTATTKATAGATGTTTTTTAATTGGCTTATCTTCTGACATCAAATAATTGCAGTTATTTTAATTTTTAGAACATTAATTAATAAAACAATTGTTGTTTGTGGTTGCATTAGTGTACTGCTATACACACTACAAGAAATGGTGGACAATATTTATTCACATAATGATAAAATTATTCTAAACTGACTAGCCTTTAACTCATGCAGCATTATGCAATAGAAGCTATTCAGTATTCTGGGCCTTCTTGAAATATAGCCGTGCCTTTGCATCAAAGCAAGATGACCATCATGCAATAATAGAAACCTGTGAATAATTATCTGTAAGTGTGAAAGAAGGTTTCTATCATTGCACGCTCAATTGTCATCTAGCTTCGATGCAAAGGCATGTTACTTTTCAAGATGGCGCAGGGAGCTGTGAATGAGACTATTGGTCTGCTATTTTTTCAAATCGATCTACAAAGACCATTGTTTTAATACAAAAATCTTTGGCACACTACACAGGAATGACCCAGTCCCCTATCAGCATGTGTCACAATCAAAGTTTAACACTCTGATATATGTTGGAAACCACATGAGTGTTTTATCTGATGAAATTACCTCATCTAACAATTGTATTTGCTTTGCAGGGAAAGATAGTGGAGTGTGTGATATGTGGTTGCAGAGGATGCTCTGGATAGTGCAAGTTTAGACTACAACATGCAAAGACTGATGTACAAAGATTTCTTTGATAGACAAACAGCGGTTCTTTTTATTTGGAAATATGTACACAATGCCTTGTACTCTGTTATTGAGAGTTAATGCCTTGCAGTCAATCAAACCATGTATATAACGTATCCATCTATATTGTACCAAAATGTAAAAATAATGTTTTGTTTTCTGAGGCCTACTTCATTAGTTTTGCTTGAAAATGAATGCTTTTGTCATTGTATTGGATCCATTGTATTTTTGGCTCTTGTTGTTAAATCAACAAATTTGTAAACATAAGTTTTTACTAACATTTCCACACAACTGAGGCACTGAAGGAGGTCCACAATAGGGCCAAATGTTTGAAAAAACTGATGTTTTAAAAAAACTAATGTTTAAAAAATCAAAGTCAAAAATTAAAATATGGCTGATCATCTTGGTTGCATCTTTAGATGTGAAATCTTTTGTGCTCTCACATAATTATTCCTTTCCTGACGTTAAAGATTTAATTCTATTAAAGTGTCTTCTTGAATTCTCCTATTCTCTTCAAAAAGATTGAGAAAACCCTGGGGGTACTCAAAACTCTGATCCTGTTCCAGAGTGAAATCGCTGAAAACTATACCCTGTTCCAGAGGAAATCTTGCACTAGCTTGCTTGTAGACCGAATTTTTACCCTGTAAATTTTTACCCAGCATCGAAATAATTCTGGAATTAAACCCTGACCCTGTTTCCAGAGAAAATTTGTTGAAATCGATACCCTGTTCCAGAGTAAAATCACTAAAAACAATACCCTGGTTGGTGGCACGTCCCCGTATAGCGAATATAGGGGAGTACCCCCTAGGAACTTTTTTGTCTACTTTACACTCATGTATGGCCCTCATGTATGGTTTCCTGCATTACAAGGTAGAACAGAAATGTATTGTAGTTAGATGAAGGGTGAAGTCATGGTAGTTGAAGACTAAGGGGCAATCGGACAGGCTTTATATCTGACTTTATGACATGCTTAACTAGAAAGCACATTGTGCCGTAGTCTTCTCTCTTTTTGGTTTTCAACCTTTTTTGGGAATGATAAATAGGACCATTTGACAATGATTCAAAACAACAAAATTAAAAATAACATTATTTTATTTGTCTAAAAGACATTAAGAAATAATTGTTACATGCACAAAAAAAAAAAACATTGTATTATTTACTGTACAATACATCACAACACATGCAAACATTTACATAAATTATTGTGCCAGCAAAGGAATCCCACATATGCAAGTTATTTCTTATTGTAGAATGGACTGCCACCACGAAAATGTTATAAAAACAAATTATCTATGAATAATTGATTTGAATGCCCTATTGACCATAGATATACTCAAATAACCCCTCTTCTTGTAGAGAGTTCTTGCTGACCCATAATATATTATATCCCTTGAGATATGCCAAATTAGCTCAGCTGCTGACTTAAAACCCTAAAAAGCATGAAGCAGTGGAATCTATGTAATTTCTGACCCCAAAACAGTGCCACCCTTAAAAGCATCCAAGGGTCATGTTTTTGACCCTAAAATATCAGTCAAGCACCCATCCCCATTGGTTAGAAATATTCACCTTGAAACTTACTTTGAAAAGTTTCAAGTTTTTACCATAACTAAAGTACATATATATTTGGTTAGTTTTGTACCAAGTTGAGTTCATATCGCTGATAGCAAAAAAAATGTGCTAAATTAATGATTTTATTTTGTTGTTTAATCAACACTATTTAGTAAAAACTATTGTACTACTTATTTCATGGATTGTTTACTCTATCTAAGAGCCATCGTCAAATAATGGACAAGACAATGCTCCACAGCCAGTGTGCGCTTGATACTTGGTTTTGCTTTCAAATTTCAGTCATTTTGGGCCTGGCAATGTTTGTTTCTTTTTATTGGAATACAAAGTGACATCTAATTTGATGGCCTATGGTCTTATCAAGAACTGATTCACATCAAACTGTCTAGTATTGTCTTCAAGTGTATCCAAATATACAGTTCAGTAGACCTTGAATATGATTTAATAATCATCATAATTTTAAGATAAAAGCATTGAGCATTGAGCGTACCAAGCTCATAGCCTTGAAAGATAAAAATAAATTACATAGTACGTAAGTCTGCCTATATTTCATCTTTATGTGACATTCTCTATCAAGCAAGAAATCACTGTGACAGCTTTCTTGATGTTAGTATTTAATTATTGTCACAATTTGTTGATGAAATATGATAGAAGTAAATATTTACACCAGTTAAACAGAGCACAAAGTAGGAAAGCCACCAACATTCAGCAGCAATCAGGATGACAATAATTATTACGGTAATAATAAAAGCATATCACACACCATGAACCAAACAGTTCTTGAATGAACAAATGTGCAAAAACAACTGAAGCCATGGCTCTGTTGTGATAAAGTGATCCCTATACACTGTAAAAAGAGAAAATACATACAACGCTACAAGAATGCAACACTTGCACTACTTGCTACATTATACAAAGATAGATAGAAAAAAAATACAAGCATAACTTAGTTGAGTGATTGCACTTAAACCGTGCAACTGTACAAAATCTAAGTACTACTAATTTGTACTATAAGTGGACCTGAATCAAGACACTAATTTGTACTATAAGTGGGCTTGAATCAAGACGGTATTGAATGCTTCATTTGTATCAATTCAATAGCCGACTTGCGAATTACGCATCAATAGTCACATACAAAGGAATCAAGACGAGGCGCCGTGCTAAAGACAATAGATTTTTCACAAAAAAGCACGGCGCCTCGTCTTGATTCCTTTGTATGTAACTATTGATGCGTAATTCGCAAGTCGGCTATTTAATTTGCGTACTACATGCACGATTTACTAAACACAACTAAATAGCATTTAGTTTGTACAGTTCTATGGTTTAAGTGTGATCACTCTAGTATTGATATTGCACACTCTTAGTGTTTGTTTTATATAATAATTACTTTTATATTAAATGCAAGTGTAAACTTATTTTTTTTTTCTTTTTCTACAATATATAATTCATCACTTTACCACCAGTTTWACCAGAAACACTCATGCAGTCATCTTTACATTATTTAAATCACCTCTTCTCAAGCCACAAATAGTTCAATTTTCTTTCTTAATTCTTGCAGTTAAGAAGTAAATTAGCTTCAACCTTTGTTATGAGAAGCTATGAATCCTATGGCAATGTGGCTGCTGATGGGCTCTGAAGGGGCCCCAAAAAGCTATGCATTTTGAAAGTTTCACTCCAAACATCCATTATTTGTAAAGTTATTCATAAGAAGAAAAAAGGGAGTTTCTCATACTCACAAATTTACCTCAAACTCATACTCCTTATTGAATTTAATACTGTTATTATTGTATACACTAATGTAAAAGCCATATTTGCAGTCAGTCTATTCAAGGCTTTGGCTGGTCAAACTTGAAGCCCGCTTCGCCTACCTATCCRTCATGATTGTTTGCCCTGTAATGAAGGAGCAGCTTCGATTGATTTTGCACACAGTTCACTTGCCCAGTCAAGGTTATCATTGTCAAAAACAAGTTTAGCCTCCAAGTGGAAGTTGTTGTTTTGTTAAACATTGTAATCTTTGTTGTTGTTACTGTATTTTATGTTAGTTTGTTTTCAATGAGTTTGTCTACAAAGTATGGAAATTATCTGCTTAACATTCTTGTGTCTTTGAAGTCCTTGAGAAGGCTCAGAYYCRCATTTTAAGRGCTTGTTTGGGAACTGTCTCGCTTTCCTCCTTTACTTGTAGTCAAACAGCAGAGCTATCCTGTATACAAATACAATTACATTATTCAATAATAAAGTTTGTTGATTTGCATTGTATATGAGACACTTTTCAATATAATATTTTTACTATGATAGTTATCTAATCATATTGTAAACAAACCAGAGGAAAATGAATCCACCTTCTAAAGAAATCATTTGTAACTTTGCTTATGTAAGTATTAGTTATTGTGAATGCTGTCTAGRCTACAGCAAYTTAYGCARMCKTGGCTTAGTTCAGCACRGATAAGGAGTTCCACTATGCAAAAGTAATATTAAATTCTAGCATCAAAATAATAAACACTAAAACAATGTATAAGGAAAGTGGTCTAGCATTCACTGAAAATGTTTTTCTTTTCTTTCTTTCTTTCTACTCCAAGACCATCAACATGCAGACCATAATATTTTCTATCATTTTGTATGTTAATGTAATATAATCATATATCAAACAAGAAATACTTACGATTATTCCCCCGTCATCACATAAATGGGTTATTAGTATTATTTGCCTGTGTTCCCGATGAACTGTTAGGTAACAGTGGTGCTGGTAATAATATATTATCGCCTCCGAATGTTGCACTACCTCCGCCACTCGCCATAGGAGGAGCCATATTTTGCTGTCGCAGCTGATTTAATGTTGGTTGTTGYGGTCTATCTGCCAAAAATGGGTTATTTGTTTTGCTCTGTTCAGTTTGTGCAACAAAGGGGTTGGGAGTTGGATTTGGTTTTGATGCAAGTAGATCCAGGTCTACTAGGTTCTTGGGCAACTCGCCACCCAAGAAATCATCTGGTTTCTTTTCTTGATTTGTCGGTAGACTTGTTGTAACGCCGGTCATACTAAATGGGTCATTGGCAGTAGTGCTATAGCTACTACTCTGAGCATCAATKGGTACCGGYTGACTAAAAGGATCGAATCCAGCGCTTACAGACTGACCATTAGTGGATGACCATGGGTTTTGTGCCTGAGGTTGAGGYTGCGGTTGGGTKGGKGCACCCCATGGGTCTGCTGGAGGAGGTGGTTGCGATGGTGCACCCCACGGATCAGAAGGGGCAGATGATACAAATGCAGCTGAAGATACTTGGGTTGTAGTACTAGAGCCACCCCAAGGATCAGCAGATGGCACTGGTGGKGTTTCCCATAGGTTAGAAGATTGTTGTGATACTGGTGCACTACTGGATCCCCACGGATCACTTACTTGCATAGGCTGTGGTGTTCCCCAGGGATCTGCAGTTGGACCTCCAGCAGCAACCATTGCAGGACTGCTATCGAACAACGATGTACTTGTGTCTGATTTACTTTGTGAAATGGCCATTTTAAGTCTCTCATTATCGCTTTCATCCAAATGCTTATGTTCATCAGCTTCTTGTTTACTTAACGCCAAAGCGAGCTGTAACTGTAATTCCTCTTCGTTGGCATTTGCAGGTCTGCAATTTTCAAGGTCACTTGTCGTGTTTTTTCTCTCTGGTTCCCATGAACGACTTGTAGGAAGCGAAGAATCGGGTAAAGCAGTCTGGCGAATGTCGCTTAAACTTCCTCCCGACTCGTTCTTCAACCTTCCACCTCTTACTGAATCACTACCAATGCCGCCGCTAGCTTGAGCAAATCTCTCTTTGGCTTTCAAAGCACGTTGTCGCTCGTTTTTCAATCGCTCTTCATCTTTAAGCAAGGCAACTAACTGCTTTGCTTTTTCCCGTACATTCATTCCCTGGTCTTTGCCATCTTTATCAATGAACTGAAAATCTTTCAGCGTCTGAATCACAAAAATGTTTTCCCGGCACTGTTGAGCAACTCTTTCCGAGCCAGTCTTGATAATATAATCAAGTAAAACAAGTGCTTTGTAAACATGCCGCCAATTTTTTCCATGATCGTTTAGCCGTTTCCATATCATAGCCATGATCTCTGAAAATGCAACGACGTTATAAGTAGCATCTGCAATTTCTGACATCAATGAGCTTGATGGGCCCCATGGATCGTTCGATGTTGCCTCGCGTACTTTCACCTCGGAATTTGAATAATTATTGACAACATTCTTAATCTGTCTCCTCACAGACATAGCTGCTGTTAATACGACAAAAGAAGATTCCAAAAGAACAAAAAGTTCACTTTCTACCGGAGTGTAAGGCAATTCCGGTCCAAAACTTTAAAACCAAGATGGCGAACAACGCCTTCGCCTTTCGCATTTAGCTTGACCCCCAGCGAAGATTACAAACACAGAGCGCATGCTTGGCTGATGACTTCCTCTTCCGTGACGTCACACCGGAAAAGGAGTGAATAAAGGAATCGATTGCCAAACGGGCAAAAAAAATGAGTACTTGAATTCATTGTGAATTGGTGATACGCGCTTTGCACAGCGTCCGCCATTTTCGTCATTGATGCTACCACGCCCATGACGTTCATACACTCATGACATATTAAAACTGTCTGCCAGCCAGATGGTTCAGGAAGTCGATACTATTATCATCTCCGGTTGGCTGTGTCGCAACAGCAAATTGTACTTTAATATTAAAACAGTCAATTTTTTCAATTAAAAAAAGATCAATTTTATTTTGTCTTTGTAGTCAGTCCTTTTTCGTCTTCTTTAGAAAATCTTATATGAATCTTTAAAACTTGTAAACCATCATGTCCATCATCAATCATAGTTAGTAGTACTATGCATAAATTTAGTGATGTGATATAGAATAGTTTGGTTTATTTCAATATAGGTTATTAATATAATCAAAACTGAAAACTGAAAATTAAAACGAAAACGTTAGTATTGCACTTGTACGGTCAGTTTCCATTCGCAAATCGATAACTGCTCCTAACAACTGCTCCTATCAATCCCGTACCCAGAGCCGTCGTTCCTCTTGGTCAGCCCTCGAGATTGCTGCTCCTATTAGACTTCTTTGAGCATGCGCAACTGGTGTTCGAAGACGAGTTGTGCTGAGGAGCTCTGGGGACAAGAATGAGTTGTGGTATTTTGTTTACGTATTATGCATAGCAAACTATTTTCTCGTAAAGGCAATATCCAATATTACTCAATAACATTTTCGCTTTCTACCGGGGTAATTATAACACCAACAGTTATCAATGCATACTAAAGCAGGATTATTAACTACTTACCCAATGCGGAGAAACTTCAACTACAATAGCCTACTTCACTTAACCAAAATGTGCTCGGAAAATTAGATAACGGTGTGTGAAGCTCCTTAAGGTTTTTATTACTGACAATTAACAATTTGTCCAATCAAAAGAGCTGATGTCCAATTAGCGTGATTAAACAAATTAACCACAACCCTATCCCCTTCCCACATTTGATTTTTAATTCCGTGCGATAAGGCGATTGGACTGAATCACTCCTATAAGTCCGCAGCGAGAGCATCCAAGTCATTAAACACTGTAAGCACTCATTAAGCAGCTGGACGCACTTGCGGTGAAGTATTTCTTCTTCTTCTTCTTCTTCTTCGTTTCATGATATATAATTATTGTTGTGGACGAATTTCACAAGGCACCAAAAATGTAAGTATGCATCGCGCAGAACGTATTCGTATTGAAAAAAAAATGTAAATAATTGCATTTTAGTGAGAAAGAATATCTTGAAAATGAAAAGCGTTAATCCTTGCGCGATCTTCATTTGTATTCAATACATATATTCCTTTCCCACAATAGAATAGGTTCAATTTTTTGTGATTCTTGAAATAATTATTAGAAAAGCACCTGTTATGGGTAAGGACAATATCGCTCGTGTAGGAATGGACCTCGATAGATTCGTGAGAAATAATTCATGAGTTTGTCTTTTTTTATCCACGTATAGAAGCCAAACATTGCGTTAAAAACCTGTTTGGCTGATAGTTGTCTTAACATGATGTATGTGTTGTCAAGTGTAGTTTCGAGCTTTCAATTAAAAAAACTGACACAAAAATATCTCTTTTTATAACACTGCAAGCAATTAAGAAAATCGACTTAAAATGGCTTCTTTTTGAAGACAACTTACTCGCATTATAGACAATTGTTTTTAGCGGGATAACAGACTGCTAATAGTGCGCAAAGTTTTATACACATACGAGAGTTTAGCCTTAGGTTTGCATAAGATCACGGTAGCTTTGTTTATTCAGGGAAAATTCCTAAGTATTGAATTTCTAAGATTTCGATAACAGCTCTGGGCCTTTCCCCAGTTGGTAATGAATAATTCAGTGGAATTGTGTGAGGTGTCTTCAATCCTAATTGCTTTTATGGTAAACAATACGAGGAACAAAAGTTTTGAAACTGTTCACTGTTATTTTACCAAATTATTTTTTAAAAACAATCTATTAACATTGCGACAGAGTCTGCAAAGTTGAGGTTTATTATTCCAAGAACCATATATAAGAGGAAACCCTTCTTAGAAAGTTGTTTACAAAAAGCGTATCTACGCAGCTATTTGAAATTGAGGTCGATGTTCCACCATGTGGGATGCAGCTGATTCGCCACAAAACTAGAGAAAATTAATCCATGGCTGCCCCAGCTTGAGGTTGCTTCAGATGATTGCCATTCATTGTTCGTTATGCATATGCAAATCATAAACATTTTGTTCAAAAAAAAGAATTTGCTTGGTGTTGTATTTGTCTCTTGTTTAACTGTCGTGCGACTGTTCAAATTCAACTCGCTTAATTCCTTGACTGGAAGACACAGAGAAATCCTATTTTAGACTGATAATTACGATGTGTGTAAAGCATTTTAAAAAAATTTGACCATTGTATGTGGATCCATTATTATAAGTGCAGCTGCATTGGAGATCAGTGCAAAGCCAGTGCCATCGGTTTCTGTTGACTCCGTGAGATGTCAGACAAAACACCTGCGTCAATGCTCAATGTATAAACTAAGACGATATGACCACAGTTGACACTTTCTTCCGTTACAAGCAAACTGCAAGTACGCGATAAAGGTAAAATATTACATCTTGCGAGCTGCATCTTTAAAATCTTTGCGCTATAAACACTGTAGCTGTAATGTGAGCTGTTTTAGTTGTTTATGTGTAGTATTTTCACGCGCCACTAAAGCGTGTGTTTTGCAAATCGATATATTTTGATGAGATATGAAGGTTACCACGCTACGTATTGACGAAATTACTGCATGTTTCTTAGGCATTTTATTCTTCAAGCAATTGATTATAACTGATCATTTCATCAGTAAATATGTTGTTTCGGCGTCGTTTTTTTCTGTTTTGATCTTTTGCATTTACTGCGGCTGGATTCAAAACTTCTTGAGAGTACTTTAGTTCAGAAATTATAGTTAGTACTTCAGTTCAGTTTTGGGACAAAATTTTAGCTATCATAGTAACAACAACATTTACCTCCATTTTCTTATATTTTTTATCAGGCTTTTTTGTTAGAAGACTTTTTACAACAAGTTTCAGTGAACGGTAATTAGAATTCTATGGATCTTAAATACATATATACGTCTATCTCCTCAAAATTTTTGATAATTCAATAATAACATTGAAGCGAAGGAAAAATGATTTGTACTGCATTCAAAATATCATTTGACGAAGCAGGAACCTTTCCTATAATAATACAAGCTAGTCAAAATACAAAAACACTTCATATGATATGACTTTGGGTGCCTCGCCGCATGAGAACGTAGTTCAAAATGGCTTTTAAAAGGAAAGAAAACCTGATAAGAGCAGTTATACTACACTAGTTTCAATAAAATACATTACATTTGAGTAAAATACTGATCAAGCACAGCATGACGTCGTCGCGCCATTGACGTCGACGCATTGTGATTTCATTTWTAATGGAACATTGAACGCTCATCCATATCCATGTGATCTTATCCAACTTAAAAGAAAATCTAAATGTTTCTAAAATCATAAAAGTGTACAAGAGACCAAGGGCGAATCTAGGGGGTGATTTTGGTGGCTAGCCACCCTCGCACCCCCTATTTCAGCGTTTAAAACTGATGTAAAGAATACGAATTATTATATAAGTAAAACAGAAGAAATTAAATCTAAATGGAACTCATTTTGTAAAACAACTAAAGCAGCGTTCATAATAGAAGTTTCATTTTCCGCAGCGATCTAGATTTATCCATTTTGTCTTTCTTTCTTGGGCTGAGTAGCCACCCCCCTTAGCTCGTTATGAATTCGCCACTGAGAGACGTCACCATGTAAAATAAGGCAAAAAGTATATTATTCACGTTGGATACACTTGCCTGATCCGAGATGGTCACGTAATCAAGCATCAAACTTATCATTACTATTACGTTAATTCTTGGATTAACTTCTTCAAATTCAACCTTTTCTATATCATCAGTTTTTATCAGCTGTTTAGTTTACTGCAGTTCCGTCTTTGACTATGATATATCATCTATATCTTATATGATATATGATATATCATCTATATCTTTCTTCTGTACAGTTGTTCGCTTTTAATGATAAATTGTACTGATAATTTTCCTTCAGCAGTTCCGAACTAATTAATACATAGCCATCCCGCATAGCAACATATTAAATTCAAACCCGGGATCTCAAATAAGTTGAAGCTGCACGGAATTTTCATTAATTTTGCAATCTTGACTTGGAATATGATTATACTATAGCCCCCTTGTAGAGAAAATGTTGCAACACCGTCAACTTRTAGATAAAATGTTTTTTTTAAATGTGTCAATACTCTTATATTAAAAACTGTGGTTGGCTTTTACCTATTTGGGTTTCATGTTCGGCTAAGATAGATGAGACTCCACACTGTCGAAATACTATACGGCCATGACCTTGTCCAATCTTTGGCATTCGCCGCAATTTTCCTCATATGGAAAATGTGATGAAGACATACATTTTAAATGGAATATTTTAATTGTTTTTGTTTTTTTTGTTTTGTTTTTGGTGAGCAAAGAGGTTTTAAGAATAAATAATTTTGTAAGTGGCAAAGTCGAATAAAAACAATGCCTACCAAACCTTCACCTTTATTTTTTCGAACGGCATTTTCGCGGACCAGATTTGATAAAGTGRAATGTTTTTATTAACTTTTTTAAGAGYAAAGAAGCTCAAAAATGARTTTTGTTTAARGTGGCACTAAACAAATACAAAACYCAATGGCTGCCAAATTTTCGGCTTCATAATTTTCCGCTGGYATTTGCCGATCGAATTGYACATGTCAAATTATTCCTGTCAAATGGAATGTTTTAATTAATTTTTTGTGAGCAAAGATTATTGGTTGATTTCCATTTTTAGTGCGCGTTTCGGTGATCCATCTTGGCAGAGGTACATATAGCCGTTTGTGTGCTTCTGATCGTGTTTGCTGTTGGTTCCTTAAAAATGACCGATCGAAAATTTAAAGGACAACAGCTTGGCTTTCAGCCCACTATATTGCGCTTGTTGAAACTGTATATAATATATAGAGGATATTTCATGGGCGCGCGGAGATACGGATATTATCTTCGAGTGTTGAACAGTGAAAATAACAACTTTACGAAATTGAGAAATATAGGTACATGTATCTGATAGATAATTATATGATCTTTTTAGACACTTTCTACGTTTTGAAAAGATCTAAAAAAATTTAAACTTCACGCAGCAGGTAACAGTGAAAGAACAAGCAGAGATAAAACTTGAACCTGACTTTATGAGGGGTTTGCCGCCTTGCATGCCACTTAGAAAATTCCGACAGCGCCTCGTTGGGCCTCTGACCGGTTTACATTATTTTTCTTTCCAGAATGAGATCCCATATTTTAAAATGGATTCCACTTCTGATGACGCTAAACTTGATAACACCGTGCCCTTGCTTCTCGTCTGGTGAAGATGATTTCAACAATACTGGTGAGGATATGTCCGGCAGTGGAGATGTATCCCAGTCCTTTCAGTGTCCGCAACAGAAGTCAGTTGTCTTTACTGTTATACAAAGGTTTGTTATTTTTTTCATTTACACAATTGGAAATAAGCTGTCAGTGGGCCGGTTAGTTCAAAGCTCGATTATTACGCTATAACCCTGTGTAAACTCTAAAAAAACTCAACTCGTCATATCAACAATAATGAGTAGTCTTTGAAACGGCCCGGCTCATGGATCAAAAACTGGATTGATTTAAATTAAAAACTGCACTGACAACTGAAAGGGGCAACTCGGAAGACGAGCAGCCCTTACTTTTCTGTTATTTCAGCGAGAGCGTTTTTCCATTTTCAATGATCACGTGATAATCACGTGATATCTCCGATTATTTATGACACTGGAGGAAACGCACTGCGCATGCGTATGTCTAAACAACAAAATGGCGGTTAATCGTGAAGAGTTCGTACAAACGAAAAAGGCAAATATGATTTCTTCTTATTTACTATAAAGCCGTCTTGTATATACTATAGTAGGGTATTGAAAATTAGAATAATATTCCACAAAAATAAGCAGATAAGGAAAAGCTTAACTTTTCAGTAATTTTCTTGACTTTTGCGATTTTTGCAACGACTCAAAACATCGAGCGTCAAAAACCCTAGGTTGCCCCTAGTTACCGTACGTCTTCCGAGTGTGCGCATTGCGATTCTCCCCAGTGTCTTAATTTGTTATTTTTCCATCTTTAGACATCCCTATGCTAGAAATGACACAGGAATAATGACTCTACCGGACTTGATTGACCTTGACATGATGGCATCGTCGCTGTTTGAGAAATGCACGTGTTTCTCCAACACAAGTGTTGAAATAAAAGTTGCGGAGAACAGAAGCCAATTGGAGAAGATTGTCACGGCAAATCAAACTGACTTTGGATTTCCAGTCTTCTCGCCAGTTGGTAAGTATGTTTGGTAAATTTAATTGTTTTCTTTTTCCTGTGTAATGCGTTTTTTCTACAGACGTTGTCGTCACCAGGACACAGTCCACAAGGGATCCACAGGCCTGCAAGGAGTCTCGGGGTTTTCATGCGTAAATTAATATATATCCAAAACTCGTTAGACATTTTCTTGAAAAATCAGTGTTACACATTTTCAAACCGTCAACGAGTTAAAGCTATATTCGCTACAAGACCGAGAATTTTGAATAACTGAAAGGGAATACATAATTATATATGGCAATCCCGAGATTCCTTGCAGGTTCAAGACTGAGTACTGTGTCCTGGCGACGACAACGTTTTTTGAAATAGTCTGTAAATATTTACCGGGTCAATATCTTAGATTTAACGTTCGCGTCTGATCATCAGGAACAAGCCAAAATCACTGCCATTTCAATTTGATTCGCACCAGCCAATCAAACAACAGCTTATTTATTATGTTGTAAAACCAATCACATGACCCATTTCACCACCATTTTTTGCCCAATCACAAAATAGATACTAAGACCATAGGCAGACTAGTTTGTATCCCGCGAG